ATTACAGTTTGCTAAAAATCACCTAAAAGAGCCCCAAGAGTTCTGGAAAAAAAGTATTGTGGACAGATGAGACAAAGATTAACATGTACCAGAGTGATGGAAAGAGGGAAGTGTGGAGAGAAAAAAAGAAATGCCCATGATCCAAAGCATAACACCTCATCCGTGAAACATGGTGGAGGGGGTGTAATGGCTTGGGCCTGTATGGCTGCCAGTGGAACAGGCTCACTTGTCTTCATCGATGATGTGACTGCAGACAGAATTAGAACAATGAATTCGGAAGTATACAGAAATATTTTATCTGCTCAGATAAAACCAAATGCCTCCAAACTCATTGGACAGCACTTCATCATGCAACAAGACAATGACCCTAAACATACTGCTAGAGCAACAAAGGGGTTTTTGATGGCCAAAAAGTGTAAAATCCTTGACTGGCCAAGTCAATCACCGGATCTGAATCCAATTGAACATGCATTTTACATGCTGAAGAGGAGACTGAAGGCAATAAGTCCCTGAAACAAGCAGGAACTGAAGATGGCTGCAGTACAGGCCTGGCAGAGCATCACCAGGGAAGATACCCAGCGTCTGGTGATGTCGATGCATCGCAGACTTCAAGCAGTCATTGCATGCAAAGGATATGCGACCAAATATTAACAATGATTACTTTATTCTACATTATGTTAAACTGTCCAATGTTTTTTGATGCCCGAAAATGGGGGGGACCATGTACAAAAGCTTCTATAATTTCTAAACGGTTCATACGATATGTATGAAAATACCCTCAAATTAAAGCTGACAGTCTGCACTTCACCCTCATTGTCATTGTATCCTTTCAAACTCAAAGTGCTAGAGTAGAGAACCAAAATAACAAAACAATGGTCACTGTCCAATGAATTATGGAGCTCACTATTTACAGTTGAAGTCAGAAGTTTACATACTCTTAGGTTGGAGTCATTAAAACTTGTTTTTCAACCACTCCACAAATTTATTGTTAACAAACTATAGTTTTTGCAAGTCGGTTAGGACATCTACTTTGTGCACGACACAAGTAATTTTTCCAACAATTGTTTACACTTATAATTCACTGTATCACAATTCCAGTGGGTCAGAAGTTTACATACACTAAGTTGACTGTGCCTTTAAACATCTTGGAAAATTCCAGAAAATGATGTCATGGCTTTAGAAGCTTCTGATAGGCTAATTGACTTAATTTGAGTTAATTGGAGGTGTACCTGTGGATGTATTTCAAGGCCTACCTTCAAACTCAGTGCCTCTTTGTTTGACATCATGGGAAAATCAAAAGAAATGTGGACCTCCACAAGTCTGGTTCATCCTTGGGAGCAATTTCCAAACGCCTGAAGGTACCACGTTCATCTGTTCAAGTATAAACACCATGGGACCACACAGCCGTCATACCGCTCAGGAAGGAGACGCGTTCTGTCTCCTAGAGATGAAAGTACTTTGGAGTGAAAAGTGCAAATCAATCCCAGAACAACAGCAAAGGACCTTGTGAAGATGCTGGAAGAAACAGGTACAAAAGTATCTATATCCACAGTAAAACGAGTCCTATATCTACATAACCTGAAAGGCCACTCAGCAAGGAAGAAGCCAAAGCTCCAAAACCACCATAAAAAAGCCAGACTACGTTTGCAACTGCACATGGAGACAAAGATCGTACATTTTGGAGAAATGTCCTCTGGTCTGATGAAACAAAAATATAACTGTTTGGCCATAATGACCATCGTTATGTTTGGAGGAAAAGGGGGGTGACTTGCAAGCCGAAGAACACCATCCCAACCCTGAAGCACGGGGGTGGTAGCATCATGCTGTGGGGGTGCTTTGCTGCAGGAGGGACTGGTTCGCTTCACAAAATAGATGGCATCATGAGGAAGGAAAATTATGTGGATATATTGAAGCAACATCTCAAGACATCCGTCAGGAAGTTAAAGCTTGGTCGCAAATGGGTCTTCCAAATGGACAATGACCCCAAGCATACTTCCAAAGTTGTGGCAAAATGGCTTAAGGACAACAAAGTCAAGGTATTGGCGTGGCCATCACAAAGCCCTGACCTCAATCCTATAGAACATTTGTGGGCAGAACTGAAAAAGCGTGTGCGAGCAAGGAGGCCTACAAACCTGACTCAGTTACACCAGCTCTGTCAGGAGGAATGGGCCAAAATTCACCCAACTTATTGTGGGAAGCTTGTGGAAAGCTACCCGAAATGTTTGACCAAAGTTAAACAATTTAAAGGCAATGCTACCAAATACTAATTGAGTGTATGTAAACTTCTGACCCACTGGGAATGTGATGAAAGAAATAAAAGCTGAAATAAATCATTGTCTCTGCTATTATTCTGACATTTCACATTCTTAAAACAGGTGGTGATCCTAACTGACCTAAGACAGGGAATTTTTACTAGGATTAAATATCAGGAATTGTGAAAAACTGAGTTTAAATGTATTTGGCTAAGGTGTATGTATGTAAACTTCCGACTTCAACTGTAAGCACTAAAGTCAAGGTCGGTTTTCTAATACTAGTTGTTCCTGCCAACCCCCAGCACCTGGATCTAGATGCTGTGCACAGGGTTTCTCTTTCTTTTTTTGTGTCCAACTCAACCTTGGTATGGTTGTCATCTGTCTATTACGTAGTCCCCCCACATGTCCTCCTACTCTTTCACATACCCCCGACCTTGCAGCTTAAAGGACTGAGCAAAGGCTGGCCAAAAAACTAACGATTCCATTAGTATTTGATATTTTTTCACATACAGTGAATGTTACATCAGCTAATTCCATAGTCCTATTTAGTTACTAACTGTATGCCTTACATTTTACCTCACAAAAGTATGTCCACATACTTACCAGCAGAAGACCAATACTGATGACAGGAGAGATGGCCGTCATGTTCTCCTCAGTCACAAGATACTGAATGTTTTGGGCCAGTGTTGTCGCAAAATACATTTTATACACTGCTCAAAAAAATTAAGGGAACACTAAAATAACACATCCTAGATCTGAATGAATGAAATAATCTTGTTAAATACTTTTTTCTTTACATAGTTGAATGCGCTGACAACAAAATCACACAAAAATTATCAATGGAAATCAAATTTATCAACCCATGGAGGTCTGGATTTGGAGTCACCCTCAAAATTATAGTGGAAAACCACACTACAGGCTGATCCAACTTTGATGTGATGTCCTTAAAACAAGTCAAAATGAGGCTCAGTAGTGTGTGTGGCCTCCACGTGCCTGTATGACCTCCCTACAACCCCTGGGCATGCTCCTGATGAGGTGGCGGATGGTCTCCTCAGGGATCTCCTCCCAGACCTGGACTAAAGCATCCGCCAACTCCTGGACAGTCTGTGGTGCAACGTGGCGTTGGTGGATGGAGCGAGACACGATGTCCCAGATGTGCTCAATTGGATTCAAGTCTGGGGAACGGGCGGTCCATAGCATCAATGCCTTCCTCTTGCAGGAACTGCTGACACACTCCAGCCACATGAGGTCTAGCATTGTCTTGCATTAGGAGGAACCCAGGACAAACCGCACCAGCATATGGTCTCACAAGGGGTCTGAGGATCTCATCTCGGTACCTAATGGCAGTCAGGCTACCTCTGGCGAGCACATGGAGGGCTGTGCGGCCCCCCAAAGAAGTGCCACCCCACATCATGACTGACCCACCGCCAAGCCGATCATGCTGGAGGATGTTGCAGGCAGCAGAACGTTCTCCATGGCGTCTCCAGACTCTGTCACGTCTGTCACATGTGCTCAGTGTGAACCTGCTTTCATCTGTAAAGAGCACAGGGCGCCAGTGGCGAATTTGCCAATCTTGGTGTTCTCTGGCAAATGCCAAACGTCCTGCACGGTGTTGGGCTGTAAGCACAACCCCCACCTGTGGACGTCGGGCCCTCATACCACCCTCATGGAGTCTGTTTCTGACCGTTTGAGCAGACACATGCACATTTGTGGCCTACTGGAGGTCATTTTGCAGGGCTCTGGCAGTGCTCCTCCTGCTCCTCCTTGCACAAAGGCGGAGATAGCAGTCCTGCTGCTGGGTTGTTGCCCTCCTACGGCCTCCTCCAAATCTCCTGATGTACTGGCCTGTCTCCTGGTAGCGCCTCCATGCTCTGGACACTACGCTGACAGACACAGCAAACCTTCTTGCCACAGCTCGCATTGATGTGCCATCCTGGATGAGCTACACTACCTGAGCCACTTGTGTGGGTTGTAGACTCTGTCTCATGCTACCACTAGAGTGAAAGCACCGCCAGCATTCAAAGGTGACCAAAACATCAGCCAGGAAGCATAGGAACTGATGTGGTCTGTGGTCACCACCTGCAAAACCAGTCCTTTATTGGGGGGTGTCTTGCTAATTGCCTATAATTTCCACCTGTTGTCTATTCCATTTGCACAACAGCATGTGCAATTTATTGTCAATCAGTGTTGCTTCCTAAGTGGACAGTTTGATTTCACAGAAGTGTGATTGACTTGGAGTTACATTGTGTTGTTTAAGTGTTCCCTTAATTTTTTTTGAGCAGTGTACATGGACCACTAACACCCTTCAAATCATTAGTAGTTACTACAACCCTTTCTCGTTAGCAGTTACCATGACTAACGTTATGTACTACAGCGTGACTTGTGGTTACATTTATAGTGGTACTCTGAAAGCACTGAATATACCATTTGTCAGTTGAGGGCTGGATTCAATCCGTATCACGGAAGTATCACGGAAGATCCATTTTAAAATGTGAAGGTAATTTCCGATTGAGCCGACATATGCATAGTTTACTGTGAACGTAGTCTCCGTGGACGCAGGAACCTTACCTTTAAATTTCAATCGAGCTATAACTTAGATATTCCACGAATTGAGCCCTAATTCAACGGTTGATTTTTCCAATGTAAAGTATCCAAAAGGGGAAACACCAAGCCCCTCTTTCTAGAATGCATTCCAGGGAGATGGTATACATTAATAGCAAGGGTTTTATTGTGAAATGAAGGAGACCGTTTTGAATGTTTCAGTATTTAATTCAATGAAAATTGCAGTAGCAATACAAGTGACTTTAAAGACTGCCATTCCATCTTGACAGTTGTTTATGAAAATAATGTAAAGCTAAGCTATGACAGCGTGTTCATCTGAAAGAAACGGACAGAACATGTATGCTCAGACCTGTGCCCAGGGCAATCATGGGTAAATGGTATCTCATTTGCACAGCTTCAATGTCTTACAGGCATCCCTTGCATCCACATCACCGACAAGTGCATCAATCAGTTTAACTTTGTATTTGTTGACCAGTTTCTTGCACATGCCTTTGAGCATTCTCAAGCTGCCACAAATAGAGTCCAGCGCAGCAGCTGTGTCATCCTGCAAGTAAAATATAGAGAGATATATCACTTACAGAATATGTGTTGTTTTGTGTCATTGGTGACACAAATTCAGTTACTTACATAACATTGTGAGAATTGCAGAGATATAGCAGTATAAAGTGGTTTCTCAATAATGTCAATATGACCCGGACTAGGCTTTATTATGGCTATAATATACTGTACATTGATGAGATTGGTGTGTTTACACTATAAAGTTAATATTTGCATTATATTTATTTAAGAGTGTAAAACCTAACATACTGTGGGGAAAAAAAGTATTTAGTCAGCCACCAATTGTGCAAGTTCTCCCACTTAAAAAGATGAGAGAGGCCTGTAATTTTCATCATAGGTACACGTCAACTATGACAGACAAATTGAGATTTTTTTTCTCCAGAAAATCATTTTTAATGAATTTATTTGCAAATTATGGTGGAAAATAAGTATTTGGTCACCTACAAACAAGCAAGATTTCTGGCTCTCACAGACCTGTAACTTCTTCTTTAAGAAGCTCCTCTGTCCTCCACTCATTACCTGTATTAATGGCACCTGTTTGAACTTGTTATCAGTATAAAAGACACCTGTCCACAACCTCAAACAGTCACACTCCAAACTCCACTATGGCCAAGACCAAAGAGCTGTCAAAGGACACCAGAAACAAAATTGTAGACCTGCACCAGGCTGGGAAGACTGAATCTGCAATAGGTAAGCAGCTTGGTTTGAAGAAATCAACTGTGGGAGCAATTATTAGGAAATGGAAGACATACAAGACCACTGATAATCTCCCTCGATCTGGGGCTCCACGCAAGATCTCACCCTGTGGGGTCAAAATGATCACAAGAACGGTGAGCAAAAATCCCAGAACCACACGGGGGGACCTAGTGAATGACCTGCAGAGAGCTGGGACCAAAGTAACAAAGCCTACCATCAGTAACACACTACGCCGCCAGGGACTCAAATCCTGCAGTGCTAGACGTGTCCCCCTGCTTAAGCCAGTACATGTCCAGGCCCGTCTGAAGTTTGCTAGAGTGCATTTGGATGATCCAGAAGAGGATTGGGAGAATGTCATATGGTCAGATGAAACCAAAATATAACTTTTTGGTAAAAACTCAACTCGTCGTGTTTGGAGGACAAAGAATGCTGAGTTGCATCCAAAGAACACCATACCTACTGTGAAGCATGGGGGTGGAAACATCATGCTTTGGGGCTGTTTTTCTGCAAAGGGACCAGGACGACTGATCCGTGTAAAGGAAAGAATGAATGGGGCCATGTATCGTGAGATTTAGAGTGAAACCTCCTTCCATCAGCAAGGACATTGAAGATGAAACGTGGCTGGGTCTTTCAGCATGACAATGATCCCAAACACACCGCCCGGGCAACAAAGGAGTGGCTTCGTAAGAAGCATTTCAAGGTCCTGGAGTGGCCTAGCCAGTCTCCAATTCTCAACCCCATAGAAAATCTTTGGAGGGAATTGAAAGTCTGTGTTGCCCAGCGACAGCCCCAAAACATCACTGCTCTAGAGGAGATCTGCATGGAGGAATGGGCCAAAATACCAGCAACAGTGTGTGAAAACCTTGTTAAGACTTACAGAAAACGTTTGACCTGTGTCATTGCCAACAAAGGGTGTATAACAAAGTATTGAGAAACTCTTGTTATTGACCAAATACTTATTTTCCACCATAATTTGCAAATAAATTCATAAAAAATCCTACAATGTGATTTTCTGGATTTTTTTTCTCATTTTGTCTGTCATAGTTGACGTGTACCTATGATGAAAATTACAGGCCTCTCTCATCTTTTTAAGTGGGAGAACTTGAACAATTGGTGGCTGACTAAATACTTTTTTTCCCCACTGTAAGATTATTATGTGACTGTAAAAGGGAAGGTGAGCAATCTGTTATCATTACCTTGTTATTATCACCATTCAGCTTGGCCTTGACCTTCTTGATGATGAGCTTACACACATAGCAGGTACCTGGAAGGTCAGCTTTGATCTGAGGGAGAGGGAGACATTTTAGGCTACAAAAATGACCAGGTATATACTTAAATATTACATGGCAAAGTGGTATTACCAAATAATAACATTAACCTAGATGCACATTTCTTTCTTTCTTTGGGATTCATTAAAACAAGCACCACTAGGCTTAGTCTGTTTCTGCTCTCTTGACAATGGGTGACAAGGAGTTGGGATGGTAGCACAAACAGACTGGCACTGATGCTACCGTTTCTCATGCTACCACATGCAAACCCCAATTTCTTTAGGCTACCCAGCTAGCATATAATGTTCTGAGAACCAAATGTTTCTTAGAGCTTGGTGAGAGAGTTGTTGGTCTATGGTTATTTTGCAAACAACCTTCCCACAACTTTCTGGAAAGGTGCAGGATAGTTGTCACGCCCTGGCTCTGGGGACTATGTTATGTTGAGCCAGGGTGTGTAAGTCTATGTTTTGTATATCTATGTTGGCCTGAGTGACTCCCAATCAGAGGCAACGAGTGTCAGCTGGTTGTCTCTGATTGGGAGCCATATTTAACTATCGGTCTTTTCACTTTGTGTTGTGGTTTCTTGTTCTCATTTTGGTTTGTGTATGTACCAGAGACATCACGTTTTCGTCAGTTATTTTGATCGTGTGATCAGTTTAATAAATACCATGTTCACTTTCAACGCTGCGCCTTGGTCCTCCTCATTAGACGATCGTGACAGAAGAAACCACCTCAACTGGACCAAGCAGCGAGTCGAGGAGCCATCGCCAGGGAAAGCGCTGGCAGATCTCCGTGGCAGCTTCGACTGGGTCAAGCCCATTGAGGAGCTGAGTGACGAGGGTTGGAGACAGAGGAGCGAGAGGTGGGCGAGAATGATGGAGGCCTGGCCCACGGGGAGGAGAGAACCCCAGAAAATTTTTAGGGGGGGGCTCACGACGTCGGACCAGCAGGAGGCCGCGATAGAGCGGCCCAGTGGGTTGCCGGAGGAGGCCGCCGGGTTACGGGGGCCACTGGTCGAAGAGGGGATGGAGGAAGTAGAGGCACGGCGAGAGGTACTGGTGTGTGTTGCCAGTCCGGTCCGGCCCGTTCCAGATCCCGGTGTAGGGCCAGTGGTGTGTGTCCCCAGTACAGTCCGGCCCATCCAAGCTCCCCGCACCAAGCCAGTGGTGTGCGTCGTCAGTCCGGCACGGCCCGTGCCTGCTCTCCGCACCAAGTCTATGGTGCGTTTCGTCAGCCCTGTCCGGCCCGTTCCTGCTCTCCGCACCAAGTCTGTGGTGCGCGTCGCCAGCCCTGTCAGGCCCGTGCCTGCTCTCCGCACCAAGTCTATGGTGCGTTTCGTCAGCCCTGTCCGGCCCGTTCCTTCTCTCCGCACCAAGTCTGTGGTGCGCGTCGCCAGCCCAGTCCGGCCCATCCAAGCTCCCCGCACCAGGTCAGTGGTGCGCGTCGCCAGCCCTCTCCGGCCCGTGCCTGCTCTCCGCACCAAGTCTATGGTGCGTTTCGTCAGCCCTGTCCGGCCCGTTCCTGCTCTCCGCACCAAGTCTGTGGTGCGCGTCGCCAGCCCAGTCCGGCCCATCCAAGCTCCCCGCACCAGGTCAGTGGTGCGCGTCGTCAGCCCGGTCCGGCTCATTCCTGCTCCCCGCACCAAGTCAGGGGTGCGCTTCGTCAGCCCGGTCCGGCCCGTTCCTCCTCCACGCATCAAGCCACGGATGTGCGTCGTCAGTCCAGCACAACCCGTGCCTGGGTCATGTCCGGAGCCGGATCCGCCGCCGAGGCGGAGTGCCCACCCGGTCCCTCCCCTGTTGTGGTTGTTTGGCGCGGCCGGAGTCCGCGCCTTTGGGGGGGGGTACTGTCACGCCCTGGCTCTGGGGACTATGTTATGTTGAGCCAGGGTGTGTAAGTCTATGTTTTGTATATCTATGTTGGCCTGAGTGACTCCCAATCAGAGGCAACGAGTGTCAGCTGGTTGTCTCTGATTGGGAGCCATATTTAACTATCGGTCTTTTCACTTTGTGTTGTGGTTTCTTGTTCTCATTTTGGTTTGTGTATGTACCAGAGACATCACGTTTTCGTCAGTTATTTTGATCGTGTGATCAGTTTAATAAATACCATGTTCACTTTCAACGCTGCGCCTTGGTCCTCCTCATTAGACGATCGTGACAATAGTTGCTTCCCACAGACGTCAAATCAATGTCTATTCCACGTTGGTTCAACGTAATTTCATTGAAATGAAATGGATACAACATGGATTCAACCTGTGTGTGCCCAGTGGGTTGGCTTTGGAACATTCTCAGCATATTTATGGGCCTTCACAAAACAAAAACATTATTTTCTTGTTATTTCATTATTTGACATAAGGTTTCCAAAAAGTTCAAACATGGTTACATTTACATTTTGGTAATGTTCTAGGAACGTTCTCCAACTGGTTTGACATCAGGAATGTTCAGAGAGTGTTAAGAAACACTGTTCTTCTGTGGGAATTTCATTTCCAACAGGTTTCCTCATGGTTCTATTTAAAGTAATGTTCTCAAATTGTTCAAATAAAATAAAATGTTATTTGTCATATACACGTGTTTAGCAGATGTTATTGCAGGTATAGTGAAATGCTTGTGCTTTTAGCTCCGACAGTGCAGTAATATCTCTCAATTTCACAACACATACCCAATACACACAAATCTAAGTAAAGAATGGAATGAAGAATATATACATATATGGACGAGCAATGAAAGAGCGGCATGGACTAAGATACAGTAGAATATTATAGAATACAGTATATACTTATGAGATGAGCAATGCAAGATATGTAAACATTATTAAAGTGACTAGTGTTCCATTTCTTAAAGTGGCCAGTGATTTCTAGACTATGTCTACAGGCAGCAGCCTCTAATGTGCTAGTGATGGCTATTTAACAGTCTGATGGCCTTGAGATATAAGCTGTTTTTCGGTCCCAGCTTTGATCCACCTGTACTGACCTCGCCTTCTGGATGATAGCGGAGTGAACAGGCAGTGGCTCGGGTGGTTGATGTCCTTGATGATATTTTTGGCCTTCCTGTGACATTGGGTGCTGTAGGTGTCCTGGAAGGTGGGTAGTTTGCCCCCGGTAATGCATTGGGCAGACCGCACCACCCTCTGGAGAGCCCTGCAGTTGCGGGCGGTGCAGTTGCCGTACCAGGCGGTGATACAGCCCGACAGGATGCTCTCAATTGTGCATCTGTAAAAGTTTGTGAGGGTTTTAGATGCCAAGCCAAATTTCTTCAGCCTCCTGAGGTTGAAGAGCCTCTGTTGTGCCTTCTTCACCACACTGTCTGTGTGGGTGGACCATTTCAGTTTGTCAGTGATGTGTACGCCAAGGAACTTGTAGCTTTCCACCTTCTCCACTGCGGTCCCGTCGATATGGATAGGGGGGTGTACCCTCTGCTGTATCCTGAAGTTCACAATCATCTCCTTTGTTTTGTTGACGTTGAGTGTGAGGTTATTTTCCTGGCACCACACTCACAGAGCCCTCACCTCCTCCCTGTAGGCGATCTCGTCATTGTTGGTAATCAAGCCTACTACTGTTGTGTCGTCTGCAAACTTGATGATTGAGTTGGAGGCGTGCTTGGCCACACAGTCATGGGTGAACAGGGAGTACAGGAGTGGGCTGAGCACGCATCCTTGTGGGGCCCCAGTGTTGAGGATCAGCGAAGTGGAGGTATTGTTTCCCCCCTTCACCACCTGGGGGTGGCCCATCAGGAAGTCCAGGACCTAGTTGAACAGGGCAGGGTTCAGATCCAGAGCCTCGAGCTTAATGATGAGCTTGGAGGGTACTATGGTGTTGAATGCTGAGCTATAGTCAATGAACAGCATTCTTACATAGGTATTCCTCTTGTCCAGATGGGGTAGGGCAGTGTGATGGCGATTGCATCGTCTGTGGATCTATTGGGGTGGTAAGCAAATTGAAGTGGGTCTAGGGTGACAGGTAAGGTAGAGGTGATATGATCCTTGACAAGTCTCTCAAAGCACTTCATGATGACAGAGGTGAGTGCTACGGGGCGATAGTCATTTAGTTCAGTTACCTTTTACTTTCTTGGGTACAGGAACAATGGTGGCCATCTTGAATCATGTGGGGACAGCAGACTGGGATAGGGAGAGATTGAATATGTCCGTAAACACACCAGCCAGCTTGTCTGCGCATGCTCCGAGGACGCGGCTAGGGATGCTGTCTGGGCCGGCAGCCTTGCGAGGGTTAACACGCTTAAAAGTCTTACTCACATCGGCCACAAAGAAGGAGAGCCCACAGTCCTTGGTAGTGGGCCGCGTCGGTGGCACTGTGTTATCCTCAAAGCGGGCGAAGAAGGTGTTTAGTTTGTCTGGAAGCGAGACGTCGGTGTCGGCGACGTGGCTGGTTTTCCTTTTGTAGACCGTGATTGTCTGTAGATCCTGCCAAATATTTCTCGTGTCTGAGCCGTTGAATTGCGACTCCACTTTGTCTCTATACTGACGTTTTGCCTGTTTAATCGTTAAGAAGCAACGTTCTTCTGTGGGAATTTCAGTACTTCAGCATAACATTTCCTAAAGTTGTTTTCATGGTTCTATTTAGTCATGTTCTCAAATCTTTCCGAGAATGTTAAGAAAACCATAAAAACCACAACAAAACTTTAGTAACGTTCAGAGAACGTTCTAAGAATGTTATTTAAAAACATATACATTCCGTTCTCAGCATGAACAAAACTCTCTCTGTCCTCTATCTTGTTAAGTATGTTCACTGGGGCCAAACTCCCTGCCATCAAGGACCTCTATACCAGGCGGTGTCAGAGGAAGGCCCTAAAAATTGTCATAAACTGCAGCCACCCAAGTCATAAACTATTCTCTCTGCTACCCCACGGCAAGCAGTACCGGAGTGTGACCAAAAGGCACCTGAACAGCTTCTACCCTCAAGCCATAAAACTGCTGAACAGTTAATCTCATGGCTACCCGGACTATTTACATTGACCCCCTTTATTATTATTTTTTATATATATTTATCTAAATTGACTCCCTTGCGCTGGCTCTATGCACACTCACTAGACTCTATCTACACACTCACACATACTACACTGACACTCCAACACACACACACACACACACATTCACACACACGCATGTTCACACACACACACACACACACGCATATTGACGGCACACACACTCACGCATAGACACACTCCCACATACGCTGCTGCTACTTTGTTTATTATATATGCTGATTGCCTAGTCACCTTTACCCCTACCCACACGTACATACTATATTACCTCATTTACCTCAACTACATCGTACCCCTGCCCGTTGACTTGGTACTGGTACTCCTTGTATATAGCCTCGTTTATTGTTTTTATTGAGTTACAAGTTCCCTTTTTTATTTAGCAAAATGTGTGTTACTTTTTAACTCTGCACTGCTGGGAATGGGCTTGTACAGTGAGGGAAAAAAGTATTTGATCCCTGCTGATTTTGTAAGTTTGCCTACTGACAAAGAAATGATCAGTCTATAATTTAAATGGTAGGTTTATTTGAACAGTGAGAGACAGAATAACAACAAAAAAAATCCAGAAAAAACGCATGTCATAAATGTTATAAATTGATTTGCATTTTAATGAGGGAAATAAGTATTTGACCCCCTCTCAATCAGAAAGATTTCTGGCTCCGAGGTGTCTTTTATACGGGTAACGAGCTGAGATTAGGAGCACACTCTTAAAGGGAGTGCTCCTAATCTCAGTTTGTTACCTGTATAAAAGACACCTGTCCACAGAAGCAATCAATCAATCAGATTCCAAACTCTCCACGGGAGGATCTTGTCAATGATCTCAAGGCAGCTGGGACCATAGTCACCAAGAAAACAATTCGTAACACACTACGCCGTGAAGGACTGAAATCCTGCAGCGCCCGCAAGGTCCCCCTGCTCAAGAAAGCACATATACAGGCCAGTCTGAAGTTTGCCAATGAAAATGACAAAATTCCTCCTGAGATGTGTGCAAACCTGGTGGCCAACTACAAGAAACGTCTGACCTCTGTGATTGCCAACAAGGGTTTTGCCACCAAGTACTAAGTCATGTTTTGCAGAGGGGTCAAATACTTATTTCCCTCATTAAAATGCAAATCAATTTATAACATTTTTGACATGCGTTTTTCTGGATTTTGTTGTTGTTATTCTGTCTCTCACTGTTCAAATAAACCTACCATTAAAATTATAGACTGATCATTTCTTTTTTTTTCTTTCTTTTTTTCTTTTTTTTTTTTTTATGGGGGGGGGGGGGGATGGATCAGCTTAATATTGCAGATAGATTGTATCTTCTATCAATGTAATTGTCTGCATCACTTCCAATCCCCCATGTTTTATTTTTATTTTTTATATATATATTCCCCTTTATTACTTTTCAACCCCACCATCCTTTCCCTACTTGGAGTAAATTAGTGAACAACAACGCCCAGGCCTCTACTTCCGGTCTATACTTACTATCTACACCTTATGGACAGAGTTAATTTTACAATAATTCTCTATATATATATATATATATATATATTTATTTTTTTGCTCCTGAACTTCTTCTACTCTCAACCTCTCCGATCATTTTCATGATGTCCATCCGGTTTGCTTCTAAATGCCATATCTTTCTAACTGTGCTCTTTTCCAAAAGCTCCCAACATACAACCTATATACTTATTATGGACACAGTGTGCTTACATTATTAGCTATCTTTGTTATTATTTGTTGTTATTTGTTATTAGTCCCATCCTTCAACTCTATTCAATACCTCCCATCTATCTCTTAACACCATCCATATAGGATTTCTATTTGCCATATATATTTCAACTGTACTGTGATGTTTTACAAAAGTTCTGAACCTTTCTATTCTCATTGCTTCTACAGATTGTGAATTAAAAATAAACATTTTTGCTAAAAGTATTATTATATTATTGATTGATTGACTATGACTTTTCAGATCACCCAGTAATGCTATCTGCAAGGTTAGTTCCAGGTAAATATTGCAATCCTTTAGCCATTCCTGGACCTGTGTCCAAAAACAAGCTACAAATGGACAGAACCAAAACAAATGATCTAATGATTCTATCTCTTCACAGCAAAATCTGCAGAGCTGGGAAGATTGTATCCCCCATATAAATAACATTCTATTGGTAGCAAGAATTTTATATAATAATTTAAATTGAAAGATTCTAATTTTTGAATCCGGTGTCGTTTTGCGTGTCAGTTCATAAACACTATGCCATGGGATCGGTACATCAAAGATCTCTTCCCAACTATTTTGCAATCTATATGGGACGGCTGTCAATCCTTTGGTCCTTAAGTGAAACTGATATACTTTTTTATTTATCACAGTTTTCCTTAACCAATTATGTTCTTTAATGCAAGGCCGACAGACAAGTTCCTTACTTTCTCCCCCTTCAACTTTCCTCTTCCACTTTTGCGGTAAGGCTGCAATTATTTGGTTGTAATTTTGGGTAGAGCAGACATTTCCATATGTTTTTGTTAGCTGCATGTGCGACATAACTCCACCAGTCCTACCGATGATATCATTTACGAAGATTATACCTTTTTTAAACATTCTGTCAAAAAATTAAGGTTTTTTGTCAATTAGTATATTTGAATTTAACCACAATATAGACTGATCATTTCTTTGTCAGTGGGCAAACGTACAAAATCAGCAGGGGATCAAATACTTTTTTCCCTCACTGTAAGTAAGCATTTCACTGTAAAGTCTACACCTGTTGTATTCGGCGCATGTGACGAACAGGATTTGATTTGTTCAGGTGTGTTGGCTGTGCCCACTAATTGGCCACACCTGATCTTAATGAGTGCTTGTTTCCTTTGAAATTGGGTCTATTTTAATAGATTAAAATGTACAGTTTTGTATGCGTAAAAAAAACATGGCATGCAGCTCCATCCTGGTGGTGCAGTGGACTAATTCCATGGAAAAAGATGTCTTGTTACAATAAAAAATAAATGTGTTTGCATGATTAATGCCTAAGGAATTTCTGTGTGTCCTATCTGTGCTTGGAGTTCAAATAAATAAGCTAGCAGTGTTATTAAAAGTCTTATTGAAAGCATTAATATAACCTCCCAGAAAAACATTATTAAGGAACCAGAATTTCTCAGAATCTCCCTGCAACCTAAAAATAAATGTTCCCAGAACAGACAAAATGTTCTCAGAATGTAAAACAAAAGTTATTGTTTACTGGTAAGGAAACCTATGGCTTCGTTCCCACAACCAATGTTAAACCAAAAACATACGTACCCACACCTTCCAAGGAACCAAATGTGCTAGCTGGGTATGGTGTAGGGCAGTGTTCCTCAACTAAAGTCCTTGAGTATCCCCAATAGTGCACATTATTTTGTAGTCCCGGACATGCATACCTGATTCAACTTATTAACTAGTCATCAAGCCCTCAATGACTTGAATCAGGTGTTTTTGTCCGGGGCTACAACAAAATGTTTTGCTGTTGGGGGTACTCACTAATACAATACAATGAAATGTCTCCAACTCTACCTCGGCATGGTTGTCCTCTCTGTCCATTAGGTAGTCCCCCCACATGTCCTCCTCCTCCTCTCTCAGATTCCCCCCACCTTGAGAGTTGAAGGACAGAGCAAAGGCTACCCACACCCCCCCCACAAAAAAAAAATGATTATATTAGCGTTGTCATTTTATGATATTTGTTAAAAACAGTTGTCACGCCCTGGCTCTGGGGACTCTAGTATGTTGAGCCAGGGTGTGAGTTTTCATTTGTTTATGTTCTAGTTGTTGTATATCTATGTTGGCCAGGGTGGCTCCCAATCAGAGACGGCTGCAGCTCGTTGTCTCTGATTGGGAGTCATATTTAGGTAGCCATTAGGCATTCATTATTTGTGGTTTCTTGTTCGTATTTGGTTTGTGTATTACCATTGACTGTCACGTCATCGTTTTGTTGTTTTGATCGTGTGATCATTAATTTAATAAATATGTTCGCCTTCAACGCTGCGCCTTGGTCCTCCTCTATGTATGACGATCGTGACAACAGTGAATTCTTTACAATAGCTAAATGGTCAATCCATTTGGATTCAATGACTTTTTGACAGCACCCCTTTTGATTTTAAGGATTCCTTCCATATTTGCTCAGAAAGTGACTTTTTAGACCTGAATGCCAAACATTAAAGCGATAAAGGTGCTCAAAATACTCCCATTTTGCATACCCCACCATACCATGAAACATCCATGTCTTCATCACTGGGAAATATTGAACGGTTGAGATTAATATAATTGAAAAGCTTACAAACAGGGTTGTCAAATATTTTATAATTTCTGGGGGGAAAAAGTTTTAAAATAAAAAGGAAATATTTTTTTCCTTTTAATATCGATGATTTTTTCATGTTCACAGATGTTGTAGTTTAGACCCTATTTTACATCATCTAAGGTATTTGTGTTGTGCCCGCCATCGGTTGAGACACATCATGCTCTTGAAGACAGGGTGGATGTCATGTTTTGGCTGATAAATGCACTAAAATGTGAATCTAATTTAAATGTAAATATTCTAATGGTACCACAAAGATGGTTGGAGGTCCACACATCAGAGAATGTTGACTTGAATGGGAATATCTGTTGTATTAAATTATACTGTCAATCCTCCATAGGAAACCTATTGAAATCATAGAAGATACCATAATAGACATGACCATTTAAGTTGACATTTGGCGGCGGGTGGACCGGCGGTCATCTTTGTGGTAGTAATTAGAAGTTACAATTTCAATTAAATGAAAATGTCAATGGTTTACCATTTACATTGCAGTGGTCTGAAGAGATAGGTCCATTCTATGAATTATATTTATATGATTTAAATAACACCCATACTGTATTCAAGAGCATGTTGTCTCTCAACCGATGGCGGGCACAACACAAAAAGCTCAGATGATTTGAAATAGGGTCTAAGCTACAACAAATGTGAATATGAAAGCATTTTTAGATAATTGATAGATAATTGACGTTAACGGTTTTCAAAATGACAATTCTTTATAAAAAAAAAAGAATTCAAGACATAATAAAATACTTTAGTTTGACAACACTTTGTAAGCTTTTAAATTATATCAAACTCAACCGTTTATCTTTTCCAGTGATGAAGACATGGATGTCTCATGATATGGTGGGGTATGCAAAATAGGTTAACTTTGAGCACCTTTGTCTCCTGAATGTTTTGGCACTCAGGTCCAAAATGTTACTTTCTGACTACTCCTTCCATGGGCAAACATGTATAGAATTAAAATGGACTTACCCTAAAGCTAGATTTCATTAGTTCATATTCCTGACATTTCACCCATATTTCACCAAAGAAGATCCACATATTTACCTGCACAGACCAGCAGAAGACCCATATTGATGACAGGAGAGACAGCCCTCATCTCCTCAGTCAATAGATAGAATGGATAATAAAGCAGCTCTTGTAAGCCAGTGTAGTTAACTTGGTCCCAGTTCAATAGCACACAGCGTCTGCTCTTTTCTACCCATTGCCTCTGGCTTGATTGGTTGCCGTTGCAGAGGGGAAGGGGCGTGGTTGGCATGGCATTTGGTTGATATCCTGAATCAGGCTAGTTACAACTGGGGTTGGAGCGAAAACCTACAGGAAGGTAGCTCTCCAAGAGCAGGGTTGGAGAGCCCTTTCCTAGGCAATAGATCTCAAAGCAGGGCATCCCCACTAAACTTTTTGGAAATGGCAAGTTCACTTTATCATCCATAAATGCATCTCATAGAGTACCATAGTATGAGTTATAATACCCATTAAACCTAGCGGACAAACAGGGAAATGGTTCCAATCGTTTTTCCACCATTCATTTTTCCCATAGGGGATTTTAGAAACACTTAAAATAAGGGCTGTGTTTCGTGTAGGCTTACCCTGGCGTGATGTTTTGTTTACCTTGTAAATCTCTCTAGGACAAGGTGACTTTTATCAACATTACTACAAGACAAAACAGCTCAATCAATCAAGCCTGATGGTCTTGTAAGCAAAGCTTGCTTTCATATGATTAAAAAAAGCTTGAAAAGGTAGTGGAATGGGATAATGTCTTAGTGTGGTGTGTGAAGAATCCAATACTTTATCTTGTATCCAGTACAAATTAAATTACTGTGGGAGCACCTCCTCTAAGATTATGAATTAAGCTGTTTGAGAAGGTTTTAATCATAAGCAACCTGCATACACATTGTTTGAAGTACAATAGATCAACATAGCTACTGTAGTAGGTCAAAGCTGTGTGCTGGAAAACCTTGGTAGAGCTTGGGTGAAGTAGGCATTGTGGTGCTCGTGTGAATTTCCTTTCTTTTTTTGCTTCAGACCAATGCCTACTTCTCACTTAAAACAGAGGTTTTTAAATTGTCTTAGCGATAACAGCTACAACCCATGTGACAGACGTACCCAGACACCCCTGGGTGTCATCCGTCTATCTGCTTCTACAGAACATCGCGTGCCCTGCCTCTTGTTGATCGTCGGATTGAGGCAACGACATACAACGTCGAGCACCTTTGCTCTTCCCAAGCACTTTACAGACCTTTCCCTTCCACCGCTCTGAGATCCGAAGCTTGTTAATGTCTATCAAGGTGACAGGTGGCGGCTTACCCGACCTGCGGCCTAAAAATACTTTTGCAGGTGGGTAGTGAAGATGGTGAGGTTTGGGAGAATAATTGGCTGGGAGTAGACAAACCTTGTCCTGGCCTGGGACTGGGACATGACTAACATGTGTCTACACTGGGTTGACAAGAACTGAGTAGTCTCGGCTAATAGTGTGACTTCCTCAAATGTGCCCAGCTGTTGAATGTACCAGCCAGGAGGTCAATGCCAGTCGTCACAACTGGCACTGTCACACAGCTCATTGCCATGACAACTGGGAGGGGAGTGAGTCATTAACATCAGCCTCCAATGTTATTTCAACCACTTAAACAGCTCTCTGGGGAACCTCAATTAGGCTACAACCTCTTAAATGTCCAATGCAGCCATTTTTATCTCAATATCAAATCATTTCAGGGAGAGAGATGGCCTCAGGATGACTGGGAGGGCATATTACGCACATCTGAAGGCTGAGATTCAGTCCCGCTATCAGCTGAACCCCAGAGACCGGGCCCAAAGGTTTCATGACTGGAAGTAACGCCGAAGAGGAGTCACCGAGGGGCCAGCTCTACCAACATATCCGAATGGTAAGGGGGTGGCTATGCCCCACAAAAACCACGTCCGAAGTGTTAGAAACCCTGGTCATAGACAAGTGTTAGAGGGAATTAACTGTCACCATGCAGAGGATTGTCGGTCACTAGTCGGTCATTACTTTAAGACATGAAGGTCAGTCAATCTGGAAAATTTCAAGAACTTTGAAAGTTTCTTCAAGTACAGTCGCAAAAACCTTCAAGACCTATGATGGAACTGGCTCTCATGAGGACCGCCACAGGAATGGAAGACCCAGAGTTACCTCTGCTGCAGAGGATAAGTTCAAGTTCAGAGTTACCAGCCTCAGAAATTGCAGCCCAAATAAATGCTTCACAGAGTTCAAGTCACAGACACATCTCAATATCAACTGTTCAGAGGGGACTGTGTGAATAAGGCCTTCATGGTCGAATTGCTGCAAAGTAACCACTACTAAAGGACACCAATAAGAAGAAAATACCTGCTTGGGTCAAGAAACACGAGCAATGGACATTGGTCTGGAGTCCAAATTTGAGATTTTTGGTTCCAACCGCTGTGTCTTTGTGAGACGCGGTCTGGGTGAACGGATGATTTCCATATGTGTAGTTCCCACCGTAACGCATGGAGGAGAAGGTATTATGGTGTGGGGGTGCTTTGCTGGTGACACTGTCTGTGATTTATCTCAAATTCAAGGGACACTTAACCAGCATGGCTACCACAGCATTCTGCAGCGATATACGCCATCCCATCTGGTTTGGGCTTAGTGGGACTATCATTTGTTTTTGAACAGGACAATGACCCAACATACCTCCAGGCTGTGTAAGGGCTATTTTATGAAGAAGGAGAGTGATGGAGTGCTGCATCAGATGACCTGGCCTCCACAATCCCCCGACCTCAACCCAATTGAGATGGTTTAGGATGAGTCGGACGGCAGAGTGAAGGAAAAGCAGCCAACAAGTGCTCAGCATATGTGGGAACTGATTCAAGACTGTTGGAAAAGCATTCCAGGTGAAGCTGGTTGAGAGAATGCCAAGAGTGTGCAAAGCTGTCATCAAGGCAAAGGGTGGCTATTTGAAGAATCTCAAATATAAAATATATTTTGATTTTTTGGTTACTACATGATTCCATATGTGTTATTTCATAGTTTTGATGTCTCCGCTATTATTCTACAATGTGGAAAATAGTAAAAATAAAGAAAAACCTTGAATGAGTAGGTGTGTCCAAACTTTTGACTGGTACTGTACTTGTCTACTAAAAGCCTTGCTGCAGTTAGCAGGGGCAAGAAGACCTAGCCCCATAGTCAAGACTTTTAGTAAGGCCACGCCTCAGGTCCCTATACAGTGTTTCAAGTGCAACACACATCGTCATATGGCTAGACACTGCCCCAGCGTAGACGTCCCTATGCCCACTGAATCTGTAGCCACCCCCCGTGTCCAGGGGGAATGTCCCGTGCCACAGGTATGTTGGCATGTGGAGCAGGCCCCGTCTCGAAGTGTGCCGGTGCGCTTAAGAGGAACGGACAGGAGGCCTTCCTAGACTCGGGAAGCATGGTGTCTCTGGTACAGGAGGAGGTCCTGGCCAACGCGCCCCATCTCGAGGCAGAAACCGCTGTAGCCTGCATCCAAGGGGACACCAAACGTTACCCCACAGCCCGAGTCAGCGTCCATAGCTCTGCCGGGAAGACCACCCTGATCGTCGGGGTTGTTCACCCTGTCGGATGAGATAATGGGCCACTTCGGAACCGCCCTACACCGGGACCCCGACCTTCGCCAGGTGATGTGGAAGATGAAGAGGATAGATGGGATTGGTATCGGCTCGGAAGGTGAGTTAACCACTCCTTATTAAGCCATCAAGCGGGGTGTCTTGTACTGGGTGGCCAAACGTGGAGGGGTAGAACAGGAACTGCTAATCGTGCCCCGTTCATACAGAGATGTGGTATTACACATGGCCCATACACATGTACTAAGCGGCCACCTCGCCAGGGAGAAGACCACCGAACGGTTGCTGGGGCGTTTCTATTGGCCGAGGATTACCCAAGATGTCGCTAAGTATTGCAAGTCTTGTGACTCCTGCCAACGCACTGCTCTCAAGCGAACATACCGTAACCCTATTATCCCTCTCCCAAATATAGAGACCCCGTTTGAGCGCATAGCCACGGACCTGGTGGGACCCCTGTCGCGTTCGGCGCGCGGACATGAATACATCTTGGTGGTGGTGACTATGCAATGAACTTCCCAGAGGCTATTCCCCTGAGGTCAATAGCAACGAATGCCATAGCCAAAGAACTGTATCTCATGTTCTTCTGAGTGGGCCTCCTGGCCACCATCCTGACCGATCAGGGCACGCCGTTCATGTCCAGACTAATGAAGGACCTGTGTCAGTTATACCGGGTCAAACAAATAAGGACTAGTGTGTGCCATCCCCAGACGGATGGGCTGTGTGAACGGCTGAATAAAACCATCAAAAGCATGCTACGCCGGGTGGTGGACCGGGAGGGAAAGAATTGGGATATGTTGTTGCCCCACCTCATGTTCGCACACCGGGAGGTCCCCCAGGCGTCCATTGGCTACTCGCAATTTGACTTGGCCAAGGAGGTCTGGGAGAACCAACCCTGCCTGTACCGTTCCCTCATCAAACATGGCACATTCATGAAGGACCCTATGGCAGCGATACACATGGCCAAAGCGCAGGAAACCCAAGCCCGGCGTACAATAGAACGGCCTAGCCGTGACAGTTCCGCCCAGGAGATAAGGTACACGTCCGTCAGAAAATGTGCTTTTTGGCACCACTTTCACGGCTCAGCAGACGCGAGACCTTGAAAAGGTTGTCCACCAGAACCAACAGGTCTTTTCACCCCTTCCAGGGCAGACCTCATTGCTCTGCCATCGCATAGCCACTGATCCAGGGAAGAAGGTCCATCTCCGGCCCTACAGGGTACCAGAGGCACACTGGGAGATGGTATGGAAAGAGGGGAGGGAGATGTTGAAGATGGGGGTCATTTAGCCGTCCACCAGCAAATGGTCCAGCCCTATCATGCTGGTGCCAAAACCCGATGGGTCTATAAGCTTCTGCAACGATTTCAGAACCCTCAACGCCATCTCCAGGTTCGACGGCTACCTCGACCTCACAAAGGGGTACTGGCAGGTACCTCTGGCCCCCCTAGACCACCACAAAACCGCCTTTGCCACCCTGGATGAGCTATTTCAGTACGTTCGCCTCGCCTTCGGCTTGCACGGAGCGGCCACCACCTTCCAGAGGCTTATGGACACGCCAGGCTTTCGCCGCTGCCTATATTGATGACGTGGTAATACAAAGTGAGGACTGGGAGGACCACCTCCGCCAGATGTGCTCCGTGCTGGCCAGCCTTGAGGCGGCCGGCCTGACAGCCAACCCAAAGAAGTGCCACCTGGGACTGAACGAGGCCGAATACCTCGGCTACACCATCGGCAGCGGTCTGATCAAACCCCAGGTGTAGAAGACCAAGGCCATCCAGGAGTGGCCGCGGCCCAGGGACAAGAATGGGGTCCGCTCGTTCTTGGGCCTAACGGGTTACAACAGGCGGTTCATCCCAAGCTACTCCACCATCGCCACCCCACTGACAAACATGACAAAGAAGAGGAACCCGGTGACGGTGGTATGGACATCTGAAGCCGAGGGGGCGTTCCTCCATCTCAAAGACACGCTGTGCTCGGAGCCGGTGTTGAGAGCCCCAGATTTCCAGCAGCCCTTCACAGTCCACACCAAAGCCTCCAGCACCGGCTTGGGGGCTGTTCTGTCCCAAGGGGACGGGGTGGAGGAACGTCCCGTCCTATACATAAGCCGCAAGCTGTCCGACAGGGAGAGGAAGTACGTGACGATAGAGAGGGAGGCACTGGCAATTAAGTGGGCCCTGAAATACCTGAGGTACTATCTCCTGGGGAGGCGATTCCGGCTGGTCACGGATCATGCGCCTCTCCAGTGGATGGCGGGTAAGTGAGACACGAACAGCCGAATAACAAGATGGTTCCTGTCGCTCCAACCCTTTGATTTCCAGGTGGTTCACCGATTGGGGAGGGCACGCGGCAATGCAGACGCGCTATCCTGTCGTGAACCGGAGGTCTCGTCTGGCGCAGGCCCCTCTGGGTCGCTCTTGGGAGGGAAGGTATGTGAGAGTTCAATGACCAGCCGGAGGAAGACGACACGACAGCACCCTCCTCAGGGGATAGGTACTCGGTGTAAAGACAATTAGCACACAGCTGGGCCCACTAATTGCTTGGCGTCTTCCTCCATATAGGTGTGCCAGGAGAGGAGCTGAGGGAGGATTGGGAGTAGAGACTGGGACCTGGGAGGACGTCGTATTGTCCTACCTCAGAGAGAGCTTCTTCGTCTGGGGCACCTTGTCTCTTTGTTAACCAAGGCAGACTATAGATATAAGCGTTCCTCCTGTAACTATTATATGTAGATGATAGTCTAAAGACAGGAGTATAATGTGTAGATGATAGTCTAAAGACAGGACTATAATGTGTAGATGATAGTCTAAAGACAGGACTATTATGTGTAGACTATAGTCTAAAGACAGGACTATTATGTGTAGACGATAGTCTAAAGACAGAACTATAATGTGTAGATGATAGTCTAAAGACAGGACTATAATGTGTAGATGATAGTCTAAAGACAGGACTATTATGTGTAGACGATAGTCTAAAGACAGGACTATAATGTGTAGATGATAGTCTAAAGACAGGACTATAATGTGTAGATGATAGTCTAAAGACAGGACTATAATGTGTAGATGATAGTCTAAAGACAGGACTATTATGTGTAGATGATAGTCTAAAGACAGGACTATAATGTGTAGATGATAGTCTAAAGACAGGACTATTATGTGTAGATGATAGTCTAAAGACAGGACTATTATGTGTAGACGATAGTCTAAAGACTATAATATGTAGATGATAGTCTAAAGACAGGACTATTATTTGTAGACGATAGTCTAAAGACAGGACTATAATGTGTAGACGATAGTCTAAAGACAGGACTATAATGTGTAGATGATAGTCTAAAGACAGGACTATAATGTGTAGATGATAGTCTAAAGACAGGACTATTATGTGTAGATGATAGTCTAAAGACAGGACTATATTGTGTAGATGATAGTCTAAAGACAGGACTATAATGTGTAGATGATAGTCTAAAGGCAGGACTATAATGTGTAGATGATAGTGTAAAGACAGGACTATAATGTGTAGATGATAGTCTAAAGACAGGACTATAATGTGTAGATGATAGTCTAAAGACATGACTATAATGTGTAGATGATAGTGTAAAGACAGGACTATAATGTGTAGATGATAGTCTAAAGACAGGACTATAATGTGTAGATGATAGTCTAAAGACAGGACTATAATGTGTAGATGATAGTCTAAAGACAGGACTATTATGTGTAGATGATAGTCTAAAGACAGGACTATAATGTGTAGATGATAGTCTAAAGACAGGACTATAATGTGTAGATGATAGTCTAAAGACAGGACTATTATGTGTAGATGATAGTCTAAAGACTGGACTATAATGTGTAGATGATAGTCTAAAGACTGGACTATAATGTGTAGATGATAGTCTAAAGACAGGACTATTATGTGTAGATGATAGTCTAAAGACAGGACTATAATGTGTAGATGATAGTCTAAAGAGGAGAAGCCATTAGTTTTTTTGCTTCCCTTTTTGGGCCACGGCCTTATGGTCAACAGCTTAGTTTATGTTCATTTTTTTGTTACGCTGTTGTTTCAGCGTTGGACGTTACCCTGTGTTGGAATTGTTTTGTCGGGCGAAAGAAAGAAAACCTGTTCAGTAACAATACAAAAGAAAAGGAACCACAACCACTGTCTCTGGTCTGTTCATGTCATGCCTCCCCTTGGGTTAGGGTGCTCCGGACAAGCTGATCCGTTCACACTTGCTGTGATTGTTCTCAATTAAAATGGTAAAAAAGAAACAGAAATAGCTTCTTAGCAAGGAGCAATTACTCAAGCAAGAATATTGCTAGGACTGTCTGGGAGTGGTCTGAGTGGGGAGGGGAAAACTGAAAACTAGCTGTTATTCGCAGAGAGCTTTGGAACTCTCTTTTCTTTGGTCTATTAACTAATTTACTGCCTGGTGATGTCACCAGGCAGGCCAAAACAGGCAGGAAATTCAGGTGATCTTTTCAAACAGCTCTTACATGAAATGGGCATTATCATAATTTTCACAATTTCACAGTATCATTCCAACCTCATAGTTTGGAAATATATATAAAAACACAGGAAAATCATGTTTTTGATTGCACTGGTCCTTTAATATAATCCTCAACACACTTTTGAGAAGACCTTGTCTACCCATTACATACGTCCGTGATGTATTCACAGTTGTGTATAAATCCTGGGAAAAATGAATACAATTATTGTTTTGACAAATTGTGGTACATGGCTATAAGCCTGCTAGGATTCTTTAGTTTATAAAGTCATTGAGAGAGTCTTGCTGTAATATCGATAGAAAAGCTCTGTTGAAGCAGCATACAATGTTGGGGTTATAGTACTGACAAAACAAACAGAATGGATCCTATACTCTATGGCACTGAAGCAGCCTCTTTTCTTGTTACTTTCTCAGGCAATCTAACTGACCATCTGGATATAGTCCAGGCTTTCCTTGCCGAGGCGAAGCAATGAAGCGGCCGAGCTGCAGTTTCTCTTTTGTTA